AGGGTGTGGAGAAAAGGGAACCCTCTTACACTGTTGGTGGGAATGCAAACTAGTACAGCCACTATGGAGAACAGTGTGGAGATTCCTTAAAAAACTGGAAACAGAACTGCCATATGACCCAGCAATCCCACTTCTGGGCATACACACCTAGGAAACCAGATCTGAAAGTTGCCCTTTTCTATGTTCATATTAGAAAACAAAAATATAATTTTCATTATATATAGTTAAAACAGGGGATTGTGAAATCTAAAATAAAAAAAAATCTTTTTATACTTATTTACTTTCTAATTGGGATGGAAATGTATCTAAATGTATCTAAAGAACCTTAACTTAATTTAAGTAATTGGAAGAGAAAGAAATATTGCAGAAGGGCCGATAAAAGGCCCTAAGTCAATTCCACTGCTGGACTGAGAGCATAGGGCCACTGGGAAGCAGCATTTCTTGCAGGTTCACATTGAAATGATCCAGTGCATTACAAGCTATATACACTTTAGTAAGTTCTGCAGTCTTTTTCCAAGAGAATAAATAAGAAAATAAAGCTGTAAGCTGCTTGTGTCACAGTTGTAATCATTGTAGACTCTTTACCGTCTGAGCCACCAGGGAAGCCCAATCTCAATACAGTAAAAACAAATGTTTTTTTGTTTGTCTGTATTTTACTATAATATTATAATAGCAAAAGATATAGTTTTGCTATGAGTTCCCAAAGAAACAACAAAAATGGAATTACATAAAGTTAAATAATCAACTGATATTTGGTATCAGCTTGATAAAACTTTCTTGCTTCAATTTGGGGCATAACTGTTTCCCTAACAATTACATTGCAATGTTAGGTAAATTCAACAAAGTAGTAATAGACATGAAAACAATTCTTTCCAATTGCATGTGTTTATTTTGATATATATTCTACCAAGGTCATGAGCTTTTTCTGTGAGTTTGAATGATCAATAGATTTGGCTTGAATTGTGGATGAACTAATTATATATTTTCAAACTTGAGAATAATACATTGTTCACTTACCAAGAGACAATTTAAAAATTAATAGAAACAAACAAGGAATAAAATGTACTTGAACACCTCATGAAAGGACAATATAGATCAATGATTCAGGATGAAGATGAAATGGGTGGGAATCTCTCCTTTTTTTTTTTCTTACATACAAACATGAACAAGTTACATATTATCTTGAATTTCAGTTTCCTCATTTATAAAAGGAAGATAGTAATATCTACCTCATTACATTTTTGTGGATTTTAAATAAGCTGATACATATGAAAAGGTGAGAATAGAGTCAGGTATACTATGAATGCTTGATATTAAGCTATTCCAGACTTCCCTTATTGTGGCAAATATTTGCCACAATATTTGGCAAATATAAATTTCCCTAATTAATGTTCATTAACTGGTTGATTATATTCTTTGCTTCTAAGTTATTTGCTTTAGGTGTTTGTTTTTGTTGTTGTTGTTTTGTTTTTACCATATTTACTACAATTTTCCCCTCTATATGGTGATAATTTTTGAATTACTTCAGTTCAGTTCAGATCAGTTGCTCAGTCGCATCTGACTCTTTGCAACCCCATGAACCGCAGGACGCCAGGCCTCCCCGTCCATCACCAACTCCCGGAGTCCACCCAAACCCATGTCCACTGAGTCGGTGATGCCATTCAACCATCTTATCCTCTGCCGTCCCCTTCTCCTCCTGGCCCCAACCCTCCCAGCATCAGGGTCTTCTCAAATGAGTCAGCTCTTCCCATCAGGTGGCCCAAGTATTGGAGTTTCAGCTTCATCAGTCTTACCAATGAACACCCAGGGCTGATCTCCTTTAGGATGGACTGGTTGGATCTCCTTGCAGCCCAAGGGACTCTCAAAAGTCTTCTCTTGAGAAGTATTGCTTAAGTGTATCATATATAAAAATCTACAATTCAATGTGATGATTAAGATATTCTTTTCAAAGAGGTTTCATATATAAGTAAGAGATTATCTCAGGTAAAAATTACTGCTGTACAATGTAAAATAACTGAATGGATAAAGTGTATTGAAGATTGTTAGTCCAAAATTAAAAAAAAAAAAAGAAAAAAGGAAGGAAAAATAAGGTCTTATATCTCTAATTTGTGTCTATGAACCTTAAATATAATGATAAAATTGATATATTTATAAGGTTAAGAAATTAGAAATGCTAAAAGTGTTACTCAGAATTATACTACACTATAAAATCTTGCTTCTGATTACAAAGAAATATATCTTATAGACAGGTAAATAAATGACTTCAAATTTTTTTCAAATATCATAATTTTAACGGAATGAAAAAATA